TTGCTCCGTTGTCACAGGAAAGACACACATTTTGTGGGGGAGGTAAAGCTGTTTCTCGAGAAGAGAAGATTACTGAAAACCTGCCAGGGTTGTTAGTACAGCAGTACAGAACTGTGGCTCAGTGGGTAGCCCTGCTGTACTTTCAGGGTTGGGGGTCAAAGCCCACTCATGCTTTGTGTGTTTGGAGTTAGTTGACACAGTCATTAGAAAGGAAGGTAAAATCTTTACAGTGTTGGAGAAATAGGCATCAATACAATACTTCTCCATGGGATAAGAGTCTAAGTGTTTGTAAAAGACCTGGACCGAAGGACGTAGCCTTGTGGAATTCCACAAGGAGAGGAAAGATTTGGTGTTCTAAGCCATGTGGCGATGTCACGGAACCTACCGGAAGCTGAGCTATGCGAGCGCATTCCCCCCCCCGCCCCGCCCCAAATTGTGAGCGACGCAGCACATCTGCAGTGGGAAGGGGGAACGTCTAGGATGTCGAAAGTAGTTTGCAGAGCGGGGGAGTCAGGAAAGGAGGTGATGGAGTGGTGATTAAACCAGGGGAGAACCCAAAGGTGAGACCTTTTATTCGATAAGACGACTCGCGGATTAGGAAGATCGAGTAAACAGTCGGTGAGTGCTTTGACATTTATAGGAGCTGACAGGTCCTGAAATAGTGATGCGGGGCAGCGGTGGGCGCCTTAATGACAGGGCAAGCAGGTCCTGCATGAGCGCCAGAGGAGAAGCTGCCCGACGTGAAGGAAATGGCAAGATGAAAGGTGAGAACTTGGATCACGAACAATGCAAGCACAGGTCGGTTCCCCTCTGGTGAACAGAATCAGCTAAGTATGCTGGTCATCGGCAAATGCATTATCTCTCAGAGGCAACGTCTGGGGAGGCAAGTAAGAGAAGAGTGACTGGCTGATTTTACTTTTAAAACTGATGATTGAGCAGAAGCATGATTGAGGAAGTAGTAAACCGAACAAGAGACCACTCTAGTTCTCTGAATGGCTTATTATACCAATAAAAATGTTATATTCTGCAGCAAGAATGGTAGTTCTACTAGCCTTGATTTTGCTGGAGAAGGTTTATGAAGTACAGTATGTAAATCGAGATCCCCCAAAGCAAAAGTCATTTAAAATAGCCAGAGAGTTAAGTTCTTCAATTTCCAATGTGTACAAAAGGCTTTAATGATTTGTATCAACACGGATTTTATTTTAGCACCAAACCTAACGTGAATACCACCGTCCTTGCAGAATGTTTTGACGAAAAATAGCATCTCCTTTGACTTGTCTGCAACAATTTGTCCTCCACGGCCGCTCGAGAGACCTTCGAAACTTTTGCGGACGACGGTCATGGATGCAGGTCGTCGACTCAACAAGAAACGTAATGCCGCATTTCTCCACATCGAAAGCTAGGGTTAATTAAACTCAAAAACTGGGCCGTGTGGGTTAGATATACGCTGCCACGTGTTGTTTTTCTGCCCAGTGGAGTGATAGTCTAAAGTAACAAAAGCATGCTATTAGTCATTTACTAGAAAACCTTATTCCTGAACTTCCTGTCTACCACACATATTCATCCTATCTTGGAAGCAGGTAGACCTCCCCTAGAAGGCAAGAGCTTTTCAATTAATGTGTTTACAGTTCAGCCTGAAATGGAGCCCGAGAAATGTAAAGGGGGGAGTCGCGCCTGATCTGTCTGTTATCAAGATGTATGGAAGCCCAGAGCTGAATGAGGGGATTTCTTTGCTTCCAGGCTTTCGCAAGGCACTTTAAAGTTCACACAGTGCATACAATTAAAGTTTCCATTCCATTAACCTTCTCCCAGACCCCCGTAGACGTTAGAGAAGAGGGCGGGTGGGAGAGAGAGGCATTCTAAATAACCACAATCATCATGTTTTACATTGCATATAGGTTCTTGCAAGACGTTTCTTGTTCAGAGTTCAGTGCTATGGTGTAATATGTCAAGGCATGAGTTTTTCTTTTTAGGGGGGGTTTAAAAAACATTAAACAAGGAAAATCTGGGGGAAATTATAATCTCATGTTTTGATGTTTGATGGCCGTTTGGGTGAAATATGACCAAAGTATCCGTCCCGGTGTCTGACAGCCCCTCACAGCGACACCTGACCTCAGTGCTCGCTCCTCAATAATAATAACGCTGATAGCTCTGTTGTCTCGAGGAAGAAAAAAATTATGCGATCCAAGTCAATTTGGAAATGTAATGTTTCCACAAGCAGCTAATAGACAGATATTTAGTGGCAGGACTAAAAAATGAAAATGTACCTGCCATCCGTTCAACCACTTTGCTGATCTTCCAGCTAGGTGCTGTTGATACATAGTGTTAGCGGCATTAGCTGCCCCGCTAACGTGTTTATTTTGCTTTATTGCTATATTGCGCTGTGATTCGCTGTGCGGTGGGAAAAACGCTGCTGATCTCTGCCATCTCAGGTAAATATTTTTATTGTTTGCTAAAAGGACCGTGCGCTTTTCTCTGAGCCGCATCCTGAATTTTCCACTCTAAATATGTCCGGTAGCCTTTCGACTGAAACCCGTGAGTTTGTACCACCATGAATCTCAAGTTTATGTCTTCCCAAAGATGCTTTTCGGAAGTCAGCGTTGATGAGCCGAATGCTCTGGCTCTGATTGGGCCACAGAGTAAACTTAATGCGAATGATCTCCTTCTTTGGCCTCAAAATGGAACAGGACCAGTGGCTTTTCCTGCTTGGTAACTTGATCGCCTCGCCTCATATATATAATTATCATTTAGTGCAGAATTACATTCAGATGAAGAGTTGTTCTGATCAGCGGCGGGGAATTATTACAACATGCATAAAGAATTTTAATTTTGAAATATCCATCTTGTCCATTTTTATTTCTTAAGAGTGTAAAAAATGTGACTCCTACTTCAAAATGTCAGCTTGTGTTTTGAAAAATGGACTGTTTCTGAACATGTAACAGTATTTCTTTTATTGAATTGTGATTGTCTTCCTTTTATGATTCCATTTATCCATGAAACAAAGAGAGCAGCAAATGAGCATCACCCGTAATGCATGGGCCATTTCTTACAACTTCAACATTTGAGGTCTTATTTTTCTTACCTTTTTGCTTTTTTAATTCGCCTGGAGGCAGATGAAACAGCATTTATCCAGGAGAAATACTGGTGTCTGTTCGTGTAATAAGGTATTCACACGGTGAGAGAGGACTGCAATTTCCTCCACAGGGGGGTGAAACCACCTTTGAATTCCTTGTTTTGGTTCACATTTAAGACCATAAACAGAGCTTTAGAACCAGAGAACAAGAAAGAAAACTGCTTTTTCAGCAGTTACATACTTTTCAAGAAAATAAAGTCAAAACGGTTAATGGTTTAGAAATTGAGGTGGAAAGCTCCTGAGCCAGGCTCCACTAACGAGGCAATAAGGCCCAGTGCAAGTGTTCACCATTGAAGTGATTTTAAAACAGGCATGCGGCAGGCCACCCCAGTTTGGCCAGAAAGGGCAGAGCCGCTGAGAGGGAGAGCAGCAACACTGATTGATCTCGCCGGCCCACGTTCCCTTGGTTCATGTAGCCATCAATAGTTCCAAACAAACTCCACGCTGTCAGGTTCTCCTATATGCAGATAGCAGCAAATACGTTATTAAATGGCGAATATTAAAACATTAAACCATCTGTGTGCATTTTTAAGCTGCCTTTACATGTACTGCATATAGTTTGGTTTGTGGAGTGACAACTTAATCAGTTTTTTTTTGGAGGGAAAGAGGTCTTTCACTTTAGGACACGTAACTGGTGTATCTGGAGTCTGGAGTAGTCGGATCTGATTCTTTTAGTGTAGCCCTTCACTTTACTTTTAATTTCTAATATTAAATTTTGTGTATGTGGGACTTTCAGGGAACACTTTTACATAACCGTATGTATTTGTATTTAAATACTAAATAATGTATGTATTTATGTGTGTGTGTGTGTGTGTGTGTGTGTGTGTGTTTCAGTTCAAGCCACAAATAACGGCAACTGTGTAACCTTTCATTGAATACATCTTCCCCAAACACTAAGAACAGTTTCTAAATGAGTTCAGCTTTTTACATCTCAAGCACCGGCCCTCTGGTAAGCCCGTAGTTCCTATTTTCACATACAGCACGCTAAAACTTTAATTCTTAATCTTTTAAGGAGAAATATTGTTAGAAATATTAACATTATAGAAATGTTTAAGAATTTTCAACCATTTTCTGATCAAAATAATGTAACTATTGAATAATGTTTCATTAAGGCTGCCAAGCAAAGTATTCTTTCCTGTTTATCAACTTGTACCGAAAGCAGCCACCTATCAAAGGTGTCCACTGATCAAAATGCATTATCATTCTTTAACTACAATACAAGATAAATTGGGCAAACATTGTAAAAACCACCACTATGTAATGAACCCATTCACACCTCGCACTTTAGAGTGGGACTGGGGGTAATTAGGGTAAAAAATATAGGTCAATATGGACAAACAGAAGTTTTTAATTGATTTCAGTGATATTCTACGTGATTCAAACGGACGGAGATGAGATACCATGAAAAAGACATTTTTTGTTTGATCGCTGTTTAAAAATGCAGCACTTAAAAAGTGAACATAAAAATACACTGTACCGCAACCTGGTATTTTTTTGACAAATAAATTACCACGAAATATTTTTTAGCTATTTTGCCATAAAGTTGGTGGTATTCACAATGAACCATTTGACTTGGGAAAAGCTGTAAGCTGGTAATATTTCAATAAGGTGTATTAGCGTGGTAGCAGTGTGGCTAACTGTCATCATGAAGCCATAGTTAACCAAAACAGCTTAATATGTATTTACTGTAGTAGATAATATTATAGGTATTTACTACAGTAATGACAGATATTGCATTAAATGTTTTTTTAAAACTGTTATTTTATCAACATACCGCTTTACCGCTTTTTTACCAATTTGATTGGTAGCAGAAATACCAAAGTTTATCTTATTGCCTAGCAACCGCGCAGGCTGTTGGTCTGCCGCGCGCATCTACGTCCACGACCTCAAACGTTGCCAGCAGTTGCTAGCTAGAGCTAAGGTTAGTTAAAAAAAATATATTTTCTCAATGATGAGGGAGAGACAGATGAGGAGGACAACAAAACAAATTGTAACAAGCCACCAGCGTCAAAGAAAAACGACTCACAACATGTATACAAGTCACGCTCGGCGAAAATGGAAAACTTTCCTGAGGTAGGTGCTCGTTCTCCGCCACGTGTGTTGGTCTCCAGCCAGAATTTCAGTTAAATGTGAAGGAATTACAGCACTGCAAAATGATGCAAAAACAAAGAAGCACCACAGTTTTCCATTAAGCAAACGCCAAAATCTACCCATTGCAGCTTTTGGTCAAAGCAGAACTTCAAATTAGATTAAACTTTATCATGTTATGCTTGGAGTTTAGAACGTTCGCTGAGGGACAGCAGGGATGTCTGCAGGCAGCAGAGAGTAATGAGAGACGTACGCACGGAAATAGAGGTGAGAAATGAGAGATGACAAATGTCAGTGTTAAGCTGCCCAAATTCATTAAGTTAACAAGCTGTTTATAATGTATTATAATACATCTAATACTGTTTTCATAACCAAAGGAAGTATATGTTTCGACATATTAAGATTAGGTTTTTATAACAGATTATATTTAGACATAAGAACATAAGAAATTTACAAACAAGAGTAAATGTTTACTCGTTAAAGTGAAATATCTGTATTTAACGTAGAAATTGACAGAAGCAGACAATGGAGTCAAGCGTGAGTGTGTCTGTGTCCTACCACAATTAATATGGTAAATTAATATTTGTAAATATGGTTTAATCCCTCCCCCCCCCCCAAAATAAATAAATAAAATCAGTCTCCCTATAAATCCAGCAGTCTGACGGTATCATCATCAAAGTTCTCTTTTCAAAAAATCCATGCGAATGAAGTCTCCCTTCACTACAGCCCGAGTCAAGCTGACCAGTCTGCCCAGTTTGACTGGGACCAGGAGTGTTGCTAAAGATTTTTGGCCCCATGAAAATATATCGTATTGGACCCCCCAGTCCAGACCAATCCAATTATTTTCCAAAATTTTTAAGGGCCCTGTCACTCTGGGGCCCTTGGAATTGTTCTCACTTTCCTCTCCCCCTTACGGCGCCCCTGACTGGGACAGTCCTGGTTTCATTCACCGTGTCCCCAGAAATAACAAATATGTCGTCATGTCCCGGTTTTAACAACTGCACATCTGAAGTTTTCATATGCAGTAAATACACCTGCTGCAGAAGAGCCCAATTTTGGGACTTGGAAAATCTGGTCACAAAAAGTAAAAAAACAACAGTTCAAATCTAATTATAGATCCCTGCAGTTACATTGTAGAGATCTGAAATTCACATTTTGGATATGTGAAATTTCAGATCTCTACAATGTAACTGTAGAGACCTATAACAAGCTATTTTCTAGTAATTCTCAATTATGGATTTGTGGGCCTGGAATTCTTACTAGTCAAAATGTGATTACAGATATCTACAACAGGAGTTCTTACTAGTAAGAATTGAATTATAGAGCTCTGCAATATGACTTTTAACTAGTAAAAATTCAATTCAGGATATGTCAGGCCAAAATACAATGGAAGTCAATGGAAATATATGACTAGTAAAAATCAAATTCTTACTAGTAAAAATGATCATTCTTACTAGTAAGAATTGCATTATAGATATCTTAAATTCATATTCTTTCTAGTAAAAATGCATTTTTACTAGTGAGAATGTTATTTTTCTAGTAAGAATTAAGTTTTGTCGAGTAAGTCTTATGCTAATAAAAGATCATCTGGCTTGTCATACTGATACTGTCCTCGGTTCTCTGTTAGCCTCACATATGTGGGTTCTGACAGCGCTTTTCCTGGGTTTGGGGCGTATTCCCTATTGCTTTGAAATGAGCGCATTTGTAGCGGTTAATAAGAGGGCTGCTCCGTAAATCATCGCTTGCGTTAAAAGACACTTATTGTTTGCTCGCTAATCTCCCCTCTCACGTTTTTTGGAAAAGGGAAATGCGATGCAAATTAGTAGGGGAGAAATTACATTTCTATTTCACGCATGCAGAGTTTGCCTCTCACAATAAAATAACCGGTTTGTTTGTTTAATAAACCTTTTCGCTAATTTGGTCCCCAGGTTACGCTAATAGTCTCTCAATATCAATTTATCAGTAAACATTTTATTTGGCGAGTCACCCAGGCCCAGTCTGTAAAGATATTCCTCGGGATCATGCGAAAAGTGTTAAGACCCAGATGTCCTTTGGTTTATGGGTGCATAAATTTTTACGAGTTTTATTATTATTTTTTTTATTTCTCTCCTAAGAGAGGTCAGGTGTCTGCCATCGCCAGCTGTACTGTAAAGGTAGATCTGCCCCTCTTATGGTAAAGAGAGGATCGCCCCCATCATACGGATGTAAGGGCTCCCCCCATCACAGCACAGATGGGATTTGTGAACTTCTGAGCCGTAGATTTTTGAGGCTGGCCCTGGCTTGATCCCAGCAAAGATTATTATTTTTTTTTTCGATTTCAGCCGTGAGAAAGACTAGCAGCTTATGGAATACAACTTGCGTAACATACATGCAGACTGTAGGATAATACCGGTTGAAAAGTTTGATGATGTTAACGTGTAGATTTGGATGGGAGGCAGAGGAATTCACTGACACAAAGGCTGTTTCTGCAGGGATCAACAAGGGGACAGAGGCCGTTAGCCTGCAGCGGCGTTTGGAGGTCTTTTGCGACGTCGGTGCTGACCTGCTGTTCCCTTACCCAACATTTCCCATTCTCATGATTGTCATATTGTAGAAGTGTTTGCTGCAAACTGCCAGTAAAATGTCACGGCTAAGATCCCTGTGATATATTTGTTCTGAAAACACTTCATGTTTCAGTCTTAGGCAGTTGTTCATTTGTCTGGATGTGTGGTGGGGCTTGTGTTTCACAGTGCTGTTAATTGATAGCTGTTGATTGAGGACTGCTAATTGATGTTCAGCTGACTGCCGCCCGCGTCTTGTCTCGCACTAAATTTCACACTTCTGTGGCATTTTAGCAGGGGGGGGGGGGGTTGGGTGGTGGCGTTAGCAGTTGTGGGCCAGGCTGGGTTCATATCCCACTGCAGGACGCTGTGCTTTAAGAGGCAAGGATGGCTTCATCTGCAAGGCCTGCCTCTGAAATATCAGGCATGTCTGCACAAGCAGGTGACACAACACGGGACACTTTTAGACTGGGTATCTTGCAAAAACAAAAAAAACTGAAAAAGGGAAGCTGAAAAGCTCTTCTCACAAAGCGAGTAGGAACAGGAATGAGACGAGTGCAGTGGCTGCTGTGGAAGAGCGGCCATATTTGCAGAGAGGTTTATTGATCAGATTTAACAGATTCGAAGCAAATATGGTAAATGCATCAAGATGCAGATTCAGTCCAAGGATCTGTAGCTTCTACTTGCTGTGAAGTGAGGTGAACCGAAGGCTTCAATTCTAGGAATCGTTTATGGTGTAATTGGTTTATGGTCTTTCTTGACGCACATTAAAGATGGTGTCCTGCACTTTGGTGTCAGTGTGGCAGGGATGACTGCGCGTTGTGTTGGATAAAGAAACTTTTCCTCAGCCTGGCATTAGCAGCGGTACGCAGGGTAGCTTTAATCCGAAAGAGGGCAGGGGTCGGCCAATAAGCTCACATGTTCTAGCACTGGAGTAAAATAACTGACGAATCATATGATTAAATGTACATGTGAGTGTAAAAGGGAGAGAAAACAACCCCCCCCCTCCCGGCCCCATTATTTTAGTCAGCAGCACATGCTGTGTGATGCCTGCTGATTATATGTTTGCGCTGATACGCTTTGTCTGGAGCTATAGTGTGTTAATTTGTTTTCACTGACCTAAAAAGTCTCTTTGGAGAGTCAGGCTGATTCACTGTTTACTGGAATGGTGTGAGTGAATTGTGAATGAGAGGACACCAGTATGCACTGTCATGAGAGTCGAAGCGGGAAGGCATGGGGGGGGTATGTATTGCATAGCCTCTGTGGGTGCTTTTCCACCACACCAAATGCAGTACTTTTGCTACGGTACTTTCAATATTTTCCCTTTTCTATTGACTTCCCGTTGAGTACCAGTACCAGATGTTCCAGTACCCAAAGTGCCAAACCAGCTGAGGTACTTCTTTGAAACTTCGGTACTTTGGAATAGGACTTCAAACACTTCCTTCGTCGATTGGTTATACAAATAGCCTGCCTTTAAAACAATACAAACGCCGCCGTGAAAACAGTTGCGGAATCAGAAAAAAATGATAAACGAATAAAAAAAAAAAACGATTTGGTCAACGATCCAGATGGCATGAAAAAAAATATAAAAGGATTTTGCTGCATATATTAATACAGCACGCATATAGTGTGCCATCCTAACGATGCAATTTTGTTATAAATATAGCAATGTTATTTAGTTTTAGATATAGCAATGTGACTGTTGTAATAAATATTGGGGTATTTATAAAACAAAATAGGAGTTCATAAATTTCTCACAAAGTGATTTAAACAGCAAGGATGAAAATGATTACGGTTGTCTCGGAGAACGTGTGCAGTGCTCATGCAAAAGCAGCGGAGGTAAACTTTAAACTGATTTTGATATACAGTCTGTTGCACACTTCTGCTGCAAAGGACACATAGGGCAAATGAACGGCGTATGCTGGCCCTACGCTCTGGCTTTCAGGGGGAGGGAAAGATGAGTCCCCCCCTGCCTCTGGGGCACCTTGACTCCATCATCACGCCTAATAGAGAAGTTCTATCTAATGACAGTGACGGCAGGAAATGTTCTTGTCTCTCAGTAAAGTGGCACACGGGTGCATCTGTTTCCACACCTGTCTTCTTTGGGAGGTAATTAAAATCCACAAGTGTGAGACGTGCTGGTCCTGGCTCCGCTCCATACGGACTTTTTAAGGGAACGCCGCGAGATGGGATGAGCCGGGCCCGGATCTCGTTTTCGCTCTCCCGTGTCTGCGCAAGTCTCGCGCGTCGGTGGAAGTAATGAGCTCCGATTCTTTGTGATGCGACATCACTCTCGCTCTGGTCGTGTTCCAGTAACCGTTCCTCACTGCGCTTGCGGCATCTTGGAGCAGTGGAATTAAAAAGCACATTAATCTGAATTCTTTTTTTTTTTATTCCTGTAGTCCTAAATAATGATACCAGCCTAGCTATCCAAAACAGTCCCAGAAAGAGCGTTGTAGTGAGTCACACAACAACAGTCAAACTCAAACCAAAGTAATTACAATATACCGCCTTGCAAAACTGAAGAAAGATTGCATGTTTGGTACACCAATTTATTATAATTTCCTGGTGATTTTTGTGTTTCTTTTTGCTGTGCTATATTCAAAAATCTTTCAATTATAAGTTTGATTTTGATGGTCATGGATTGAATTTTCTCTACTTTAATAGTCAAATTGAAGTATAACTGTGTGCTAGTGTTCTTGTTTAATTAACAAGAAATTAACAAGA